GTCCTGGAACAGCTGGCCCTGTTGTTGCCATGCTCACAGCTACATACACTCATGACTCTGACTCATAATTTTGTAGGACAAACATTACTTTTCCCTCTCCTTTTTGGCAGCTTTTTACAGATTTCATGGTTTACAACTGCATCTTACTTTTTCATTTGAAGAAAGCCGCATGTGGAGAATAAATATTAAAAATCTATTCGAAACTAAAAGGTCTCTGATTTCCTCACCACTATATTTACTGCTAAGTTTTTTGTACTCTACATCAAAAAAAATACCAACTACAAATGGCACAGAAATAAAGAAAGTTTTGCCTGTTTCCAATAATTTATTTTATTCTCCATGGAATTCACCTGTTTTATGTGTTGCTGCCTCCTAAATCTGTCTACCTCTTGTCGGTGAGATTTAATTGTTGAAGGGGGGACAGAGGGATCTTTTTTTAAAAAAACCAAACTTTTTCCACAACTGTAAGAAATAAAAATTGTCTGTGCAGTAATACTCTGTTGCCAAAGTTAGGCAACTAAATCCCTATTTAGGCCCCTCAGTGGCCCAATTTCCAGAAGTGAGAACCTGCAGCTTCCATTGAAAGATAGATACCTGCTTTTGTAAATTTTGGCTTCAGTATGTACATGTCAATATTTTACTATGTTGCATTTCATTTGGCACCTGGATACTTAATTATACAGAAAAAAGAAAAACACATTTATCCAAGAATGAAAAATTTCCATCTTTAGTCACCAGCTTGAGAGGCACGGACACCAAAGTGGGGACTGGAAACTGGGATCTGCAGGCTTGAAATAGAATCAGAGAAACATCTTTGTTTCTCAGGTCAAGTAACTTGTGAGAACACCATTCCTAGAGAAGAAAGATGTACTTCTGGTTAAGGGACAGGATTGGGACTCAGGCGTTGAGTTCAGTTCCCACCTCTGACACTTCCTATGTGACTTGAGGCAGAGCATAACTTTACTTGCCCAAATTCCCCATCTGTAAAATGGAGATACTACTACTTCCTTTTTACCTGTCTGGCCTATATTACTTTTAAGCAATTTGGGACAGACACTGTCTCAATGGGAGCTTGATCTCAGTTTGGAATCTACTGTAATACAAATCCTTCCCGTATCATTGCTCTATACTAATAAGTCTTTTACAAATACAAGTACAATCAGAATATGCCATCCATGCCAGAATGATCTAACAATCTAAATTAGACAAATAATGACAGTCTCTGGGACAGTTGAGGGGAAAAGTGCAAAAAGAGGAAGAATTGTTCTCGTCAGAGGATCAAAACAAGACTATTTGTAAATGTGTGAACTTCCTGATTTTTTGACAGTGAGGGAAGAGCGTTATTTTTTTTCTTATTTGTTGATGAGAGTAAGAGGGAAGAAAGCAGGAAGATCAAGAGTGAATATTACAAAATTTTCCTCAAAGGTGACTTAAAAGAAGGTAGAGTGTCCAAGTTTAATAGTTTTACTAATGTGCAGGAGAGTTCAGGAACTCTTTGTGGCCTGCTACAGTAAATTACACGGGTCATGAACTCACAGAAGCAGAGGCCTTTGTATACAGCTGAAAGTTTGGAACTTTCTAGTAGAGAAAAATATAAAACATATTCAAGGTAACTTATTGACACTCCATATGCCCCTGGTGTTCCACGGTAATTAGTGATCCATTATCACACAGTGAATTAGATTCTGCACAGGATTTTTTGTTTGGTTTTTTTTTCTTAAAAAAAAAACACCAAACAAACTAATAATAGAAGTGTAGAGCTGGAAGGAACATCAAGAGGTCAAGTCCAGACCCCTCTGTAATCCTTGACCATTCCTGACAGGTATTTGTCCCACCTGTTCTTAAAAACCTCCAATGATGGGAATTCCACAACCTCCCTCGGAAGTCTGTTCCAGTGCTTAACTACTCTTACAGTTAGAAAGTTTTTTCCTAATGCCTAAACTAATTCTTCCTTGCTGAAGACTAAGCCTATTACGTCTTATCCTACCTTCGGCGGACACAGAACAATTAGGCCCCATCTTCTTTATAACAGCCCTTAACGTATGAAGGCTGTTCTTAGGTCTCCCTGCAGTCTTCCTTTCTCAAGGCTAAATATGCTCACTTTTTTTTTTTTAATAAAACCTTTCTTCATAGGTCAGGTTTTCTAAACTTTTTATCATTTCTGTTGCTGTCCTCTGGACTCTCTCCAATTTATCCACATCTTTTCTAAAGCATGGCGGCCAGAATTGGACACAGTACTGTTAGGCTATAGATATTCAGGCCTGTCTGTAAAGGCCTATACTCTAAGAATTTAGGTGTATTCTTATCACTTAGCTAGTTATAGAGGTATAAAAAAAGAATCAAAATCACTGTCTGCCGGTGTAAGGGCCTTCTCTTAGTGTGACAGTCTGAGGCCTTGTTCTTAGGCTAAGGCCTTTGGCTAAGCAGCAGAGGCAGCCATAAGCTGGGAAGCAAACTACCCATTCCTATTGAGCAAAGTTGGAAACTGCCATAAAGATGGCATTTTAAATTTCCCTATTAAAATCGGACTCATTCATTAGTAAATCAACTGTTTTTTGCACTCTCTAGGCAGGGAATTAGCATGGTAGGAAGACCAATATTGTTTCTAGGTAATTTATATATTATCTGTCCTGAACATAAAAAGCTTGATGTTTCCATAATGCGCAAAAATACTTGCACTGGCCTACTGGACCTTTGAAATATTCCTCTTCTAGTTCAATAGTTACTTTTCACATAGAGATTAACAAAAAAGAGCAGAGTTCCATAAACATGAATCTGGAGGCTCCAACAATACATATACCATGGACTCTCTAAACATCAGCTCATGCGTCCAGTTTTACTCCTGCAGCATCTTGAAAGTCCTACCACAAACTGAAAACACAAGTCATATGATTTACAGTTATTTATTGTGCATGCTCTGAAAAGCTTTTGCATCAGGCGGCAGCACATAAAAGGCTCACAGTCCTATTCTTGTTCAAGGAAGGATTCCAATTGAAATCAACAAAAGTCACTGGAATTATTTAAGCAAGTAAAGCAAGCAGGATATGACTCAATGTCTTTGCTGCTAAAAGAAAAAAAGTTAAGTGGAAAAAAAAATCTTTACGTTCTTACAGTTCTTATACCCAAACCCCAGACATATCCCTATAAATAGTTCAAAAGTTTTAAGTTGTTAGCAACTTTGCTGGTGATATTCATATTAGAAGGTTCTAGTGTACACTGGTGGCTGATGTTTAAACTATTATGTCATCCAACCCCTCACAAACTAGCATCTGCCAGCACCTATCAACTAGAGTTCTCTCCACCGATATCACCATTAGAGCTGCACTGGTGATGGCAATTGTGGGAAATTTTTACAAAGGAGTCTAGCACAGGCCTATGCTTGGTCTATACAAGAAAATTAAGTTGGCTTCCTTACGTCGCTCAGGGGTGTGAAATATCCACCCCTCTGACAGGCATAGTTAGACCAATCTAAACCCTGGTGCAGACAGTGCTAAGTTGATTGAAGAATTCTTCTGTCAACCTACCTACTGCCTCTCAGGAAGGTGAATTACCTACACTGACAGGAGAATCCCTCCCGGTGGCGTAGATAGTGTGTACCCTCAAGGGCTGCAGTGATACAGCTGTGCTGCTATAGCATTTTAAGCGTAGACATACCCCAACTCTTGTAAGGCCTGATAGTACACCTGTTGAAGTAAACAGCCCACAGGTATAAATGAGAACAGGACAGCCCACTGAATAATAAGAAAGAAGAGTTGGCAATAGGCGGTGGCTCTGGTACCATTTTAGGTCTACAGTAAAGTCAAATCTATATTTGAGACTAAATTGCAGAAGAGCATGATGAATTATTTCCTATAAAATATAGTTATTTGTTTATTAGTGGATTACACACACACTCTCAAAAATGTAAGTTGCCTTTTAGGAATCTATTGCAGAAATTCTGCCTATGAGTCATATGGCTGCTTTAAAAAAAAATGAAGGGACACAAAAGAGTCACTATTTCTGAGTACTTGACATATGCATCCAGAAAGTGTAGAAAGAGTCACCTAAAGATGTTAAAATCAAAGATCAAATGACTGACACCTGATTCCTGCAATAATCAATTTAAAATGCATTGCCTTGAATATCTTATGGGTGAAGAGAAGTGTAATGAAACCAAAGAACATCAGATCCATGCATACAGTGGGCAACATTTTGTCTAGTCACACCCTTGAAACTAATGGATACATTGTCCTTTATTTTAAACCTTTAAAATAGGTTTACGAAATGCTTAGTTCAGCCTATGAACTTTTAGCAGGCATCCAATTGGTTATATTCTTAATTAAAAGCAACTGAACAGTCTATAGGTTAATAGTTCTGAAAGAGAGTCTTTCCATTCCATCTCCTCCACTAGCACATGTGCATGCATGGAAGCGAGTGGCAGGGAAAAAAAATTATTAAATCTCTCACTGAATGACACCACTTGTCACATTAGGAATTCAAGACCACTAGCATCAAATGTTGCTATGAAATCCTAATGTCTAAATAACACGTTTTATCAGTGGTTGAAGAAAAAAAAATACTTAAATCCCCATTTGACTCTGCCCATACAAGGTCCTAGATCTTTGCTGTTGATGGTTATTACAATTATTTTACAGCACCTCTCTCAGTCACTAAGAAATATAGTAGACATGATCAAAACATAATAACTTCATCCTAACTCTATTATAGAGATCAGGCTGGCTGATACTATTCATGGGTGGTCAGACAAAAACCTACAGGCTGTGTACACTTTCTTCTGAAAAAAGATACCAAGGTAACCTTTCTTGAAATTAATGAGCTGCTAGTGGTTTGCTTTTTCATCTACCTGAACTCCTAGCACTGCAGAATATGCAACTCATTTGAGCCCCAAGAATTATGATTTGGGGACAGCATACGTCTAGGGACAGCCATGAATGAAGCTATTCTGAAGAGATCAAATAGAAATAAATGAGGTTTGTAATTACTATTTTCTGCTTTGCTAGGTGGTCAGACTACATTAGGAAGTGGTTAGCAAAGCCTTGGACATCCACACAGTACAAAGTAAGTATAGGCTATATATATATATATATAAAAATAAAAATAAAGTGTTTACCAGGCATTTCTTTCCTTTACTATACACATATGCACTTACTGAAGATATCAAAAGACTAACACGTGCACAAACGCACAAGCTATGAAGAAGAGGGATATGTCAAGGCTGATAGATAGAAACCAAAAAAGGGAGATCAAGTTTGAAGGTCTCTCTTGAAAGTGTAAATGCTTGCTGTGCATTTTCAAGCTTAGGCCAAAATTATCTTTTATTAAGACATTTGGAATACACTAAAGAAATTGGTACATTTTAAAAAAATGTAATAGCACATCCTTTCAATAGAATCTTTTTAATTTGACAGGAACAGGGAGCTAAGATACAATGTGGCACTTTTTAAATTATTTTTTGTTGTGCAATGAGACAAAGAAAAAGCAAGCTAATGACTAAATTCTCTCCTCTGATGGCTGTTTGGGGCAACTGGAAACCTCCAGTCCAGTGTACACCCAAAGGCATATTTTGCTGACAAGTATTTTTCTTTATAAAAAGAAAATGAGTACTAGTGGCACCTTAGAGACTAACCAATTTATTTGAGCATAAGCTTTCGTGAGCTACAGCTCACTTCATCGGATGCATACTGTGGAAAGACAGATTTTTGGTCTATGTTACATCTCTAACGTATTCAAGTTACCGCTTCTTTACATGCAAAGCATCTCCTCTAGCCCGCCAATCCCACCACATCAGCGGCAGCCATTTTGAGGCCATATGCAGCCTCTGACAGAGATACAGAGTGGATTCTGTGCAGGTCCAGGGTCGAGTGGCAAGAGGCTCAGGTTTAAACAAAAATCCCTCTCTGGGGTTTCTGCTTCATTTCAGGAATGGATTTAAACAAAAAAGCATAAACTGGCCCAAAGTCTTGGACTTCATGCTTACCATCAGGCCTGCCAAGCGTTACACATCGGGCCTGGCAGACAGTCATGACGGTATGTTTCCCATCCACCCAAAACATTGCAACAGCCCTGCTGGAATCTCGCACATCTTGCAAGGTGGTAGGGACTGATTATACCTCCTGGCTGCCCATAATGCACTGCAAGTGCCGCAAATGTGGCCGCACCAGTGCGGACACACTACAGCACTTTCCCTACTGTGCTCTACGAAGGCGGGTTTAACTCGCAGTGCTCTACGTCCACAAGTGTAGCCATGCCTTGAGTCAGTTTCAGCCCTCTCTTTTCTACTCTTCTTTCCTCTCAGGCTCTCCCCCTTTGGTATGCCCTTATGTACTGACTGCCCTGCCCATATACCCACTCAAACTCCCTGGATCGCCTGTACACACATCGATCCACATTCTGCTCCCCCACACCTACCTCTCTGCCCTTGTCCACACCTCTGCTCCACTGGCTTTACAAGAAGTTTCAGTGTGGGGAGAGGAAGCTTAGAGCATCCTTTAAAGGTCTTAGATCACCCCACAGGAAACAAGGGAAGAGCAGAATCTGCTGAGCAGAGTTTCCCCATTCTATCCTTTTCATTTCCTCATGAGAGAGGGAGTGGCACATGAGATAGCTCATTTTCACTCCCTTCCCTACCAGACACACAATTGCAGAGGGGTGGCCCCTGAATGGTACTGCAGTGAATGCACCACTGAGCCCTAATAGATGCAGGAACCTTCACAGTATGCCCAAATAAATTTGTAAGGGTATGTCTACACTACGGAATAAGGTCGAATTTATAGAAGTCGGTTTTTTAGAAATCGGTTTTATAAATTCGAGTGTGTGTGTCCCCACAGAAAATGCTCTAAGTGCATTAAGTGCATTAACTCGGCGGAGTGCTTCCACAGTACCGAGGCAAGCGTCGACTTCCGGAGCGTTGCACTGTGGGTAGCTATCCCACAGTTCCCGCAGTCTCCGCTGCCCATTGGAATTCTGGGTTGAGATCCCAATGCCTTATGGGGCTAAAACATTGTCGCGGGTGGTTCTGGGTACACATCGTCAGCCCCCCGTTCCCTCCCTCCCCCCGTGAAAGCAAGGGCAGACAATCATTTCGCGCCTTTTTTCCTGAGTTACCTGTACAGACGCCATACCATGGCGAGCATGGAGCCCGGTCAGGTAACCGTCACCCTATGTCTCCTGGGTGCTGGCAGACGCGGTACGGCATTGCTACACAGTAGCAGCAACCCCTTGCCTTGTGGCAGCAGACGGTACAGTACGACTGGTAGCCGTCATCGTCATGTCTGAGGTGCTCCTGGTCGCCTCTGTGAGGTCGATCAGGAGCGCCTGGGCAGACATGGGCACAGGGACTAAATTTGGAGTGACTTGACCAGATCATTCTCTTTAATCCTGCAGTCAGTCCTATTGAACCGTCTTATGGTGAGCGGGCAGGCGATACGGACTGCTTGCAGTCGTACTGTACCATCTTCTGCTGAGCAGCCATGAGATGTAGATGGCATGCAGTCCTTCTGCACCGTCTGCTGCCAGCCAAAGATGTAAAAGATAGATGGAATGGGATCAAAACAAGAAATAGACCAGATTTGTTTTGTACTCATTTGCTTCCCCCCCTCCCCTGTCTAGGGGACTCATTCTTCTAGATCACACTGCAGTCACTTACAGAGAAGATGCAGCGAGGTAAATCTAGCCATGTATCAATCAGAGGCCAGGCTAACCTTCTTGCTCCAATAAGGACAATAACTTAGGTGCACCATTTCTTATTGGAACCCTCCGTGAAGTCCTGCCTGAAATACTCCTTGATGTAAAGCCACCCCCTTTGTTGATTTTAGCTCCCTGAAGCCAACCCTGTAAGCGCCCCTCCCAGCGTCAGAGCAATGGCAAACAATCGGGCATCTGAGAGTGCTGTCCAGAGCAGTCACAATGGAGCACTCTGATGGGGCTAAAACATTGTCGCGGGTGGTTCTGGGTACGTGTCATCAGGCCCCCGTTCCCTCCCTCCCTCCGTGAAAGCAAGGGCAGACAATCATTTCGCGCCTTTTTTCCTGAGTTACCTGTGCAGACGCCATACCACAGCAAGCATGGAGCCCGCTCAGGTAACCGTCACCCTATGTCTCCTGGGTGCTGGCAGACGCGGTACGGCTTTGCTGCACAGTAGCAGCAACCCATTGCCTTCTGGCAGCAGACGGTGCAATACGACTCGTAGTCGTCCTCGTCGTGTCCGAGGTGCTCCTGGCCACGTCGGCTGGGAGCGCCTGGGCAGACATGGGCGCAGGGACTAAATTTGGAGTGACTTGACCAGGTCATTCTCTTTAGTCCTGCAGTCAGCCCTATTGAACCGTCTTATGGTGAGCGGGCAGGCGATACGGACTGCTAGCAGTCGTACTGTACCATCTTCTGCCAGGCAGGCAAGAGATGAGGATTGCTAGCAGTCGTATTGCATCATCTTCTGCCGAGCAGCCATGAGATGTGGATGGCATGCAGTCCTTCTGCACCATCTTCTGCCAGCCAAAGATGTAAAAGATAGATGGAGTGGGTCAAAACAAGAAATAGACCAGATTTGTTTTGTACTCATTTGCCTCCTCCCCTGTCTAGGGGACTCATTCCTCTAGGTCACACTGCAGTCACTCACAGAGAAGGTGCAGCGAGGTAAATCTAGCCATGTATCAATCAGAGGCCAGGCTAACCTCCTTGTTCCAATAACAACGATAACTTAGGTGCACCATTTCTTATTGGAACCCTCCGTGCAGTCCTGCCTGAAATACTCCTTGATGTACAGGCACCCCCTTTGTTGATTTTAGCTCCCTGAAGCCAACCCTGTAAGCCGTGTCGTCAGTCGCCCCTCCCTCCGTCAGAGCAACGGCAGACAATCGTTCCGCGCCTTTTTTCTGTGCGGATGCCATACCAAGGCGAGCATGGAGGCCGCTCAGCTCACTTTGGCAATTAGGAGCACATTAACCACCACACGCATTATTCAGCAGTATATGCAGCACCAGAACCTGGCAACGCGATACCGGGCGAGGAGGCGACGTCAGCGCGGTCCCGTGAGTGATCAGGACATGGACACAGATTTCTCTGAAAGCATGGGCCCTGACAATGCATGCATCATGGTGCTAATGGGGCAGGTTCATGCTGTGGAACGCCGATTCTGGGCTCAGGAAACAAGCACAGACTGGTGGGACCGCATAGTGTTGCAGGTCTGGGACGATTCCCAGTGGCTACGAAACTTTCGCATGCGTAAGGGCACTTTCATGGAACTTTGTGACTTGCTTTCCCCTGCCCTGAAGCGCATGAATACCAAGATGAGAGCAGCCCTCACAGTTGAGAAGCGAGTGGCGATACCCCTGTGGAAGCTTGCAACGCCAGACAGCTACCGGTCAGTTGGGAATCAATTTGGAGTGGGCAAATCTACTGTGGGGGCTGCTGTGATGCAAGTAGCCCACGCAATCAAAGATCTGCTGATATCAAGGGTAGTGACCCTGGGAAATGTGCAGGTCATAGTGGATGGCTTTGCTGCAATGGGATTCCCTAACTGTGGTGGGGCTATAGACGGAACCCATATCCCTATCTTGGCACCGGAGCACCAAGCCGCCGAGTACATAAACCGCAAGGGGTACTTTTCGATAGTGCTGCAAGCTCTGGTGGATCACAAGGGACGTCCCACCAACATCAACGTGGGATGGCCGGGAAAGGTGCATGACGCTCGCATCTTCAGGAACTCTGGTCTGTTTCAAAAGCTGCAGGAAGGGACTTTATTCCCAGACCAGAAAATAACTGTTGGGGATATTGAAATGCCTATATGTATCCTTGGGGACCCAGCCTACCCCTTAATGCCATGGCTCATGAAGCCATACACAGGCAGCCTGGACAGTGGTCAGGAGCTGTTCAACTACAGGCTGAGCAAGTGCAGAATGGTGGTAGAATGTGCATTTGGACGTTTAAAGGCGCGCTGGCGCAGTTTACTGACTCGCTTAGACCTCAGCGAAACCAATATTCCCACTGTTATTACTGCTTGCTGTGTGCTCCACAATATCTGTGAGAGTAAGGGGGAGACGTTTATGGCGGGGTGGGAGGTT